CAGGACCCCCCCGGGGACCACCCAGCCCCCCCCTCACCGTCACCCCCCCCCTCCTGGGGGTCGGGGTCCTCGGGGTCTCCCCCTGTTCCAGGCACCTCCTCAAAGTGGGGGCGTCCCTCCGGGTCCTGCCTGGGGGTGACACATTGGGGACAGCGTCACCACCCTGCCCTGGTGTCACTTGGCCACCACAGGGACATCCCAGCACCTCTCAGTCACCCCCCCACAACTCCTAAACCTCCCCCAACATTGGGGACATTGATGTCACCTCCTCAAACTGGGGACACCCCACTGTGTCCCCTCCAGTGTGTCCCCCATGTCCTCATGTCCCTCCCTGTGGCCCTGCCACCCCCCCACTGAGTGTCCCCATGTCCCCCCCAGTGTCCTTGTCCCCTCATGTCCCCCACCTGTGGCACACACGGACTCGGGGCACCATGGTGGCCCCGTACTGCAGGGACGAGACGCGGTGACAGCCCAGGGAGTAACGGGCCTGAGCCAGGGACAGCCACCCCTGTGGGGACATTGAAGGGGACAGAGGAACATGGCATTAGGGACAATCACCTGGGGCAGACACAGGAGACATCATGGTGTGTCCCCACAGTAGGTGACGTGTCCCTCCAGTATGTGCCAGGGTGGGTGGTGTGTCCCCAGCCACATCCCTACAGCAGGGGACAGTCCCCAGCTGTGTCCCCCCATGGGGTTGGCACATCCCTGTGGCGGGTGGCACCTCCTCACAAGTGTCCCCCTGAGGGGTGGCGTGTCTCCATTGTGTCCCCGCTGTGTCCCCTCACCTGCCGCAGGTGCTGCTCCAGCTGCTCCCGCCGCTGCTGCAGCAGCTCCAGCGCCTCCATCACCTCCAGCGCGGCCGCGTCCAGGGACAGCGACAGCGACCCTGCGGTGGTGGTGGGGGGGGACACGGCTCAGGACCCCGCAGCGACAGCCGGGGGGACCCCAGGGGCTCCCCCAGACCCACCAAAAGCGCCTCCCCTCGCCCAGGGACCGGCCGGGTCCCCACGGTGTCACCCGTGTCCGCCGGTGTCACGCGTGTCCCCGGGGACACCCCCAGACACCTCCGGGCCCTCAGAGACCACATCAAAGCACCCCCGGAAACCCGCTGAAAAAAACCTCGGGCTCTCTGAGAGCTCCAAAACCACCCCAAAACGTTTCCTATCTTCTGGAAACCCCCCCCAAAACCCTCGGAGAGCCCTAAAAACAACCCCCGGAACCCCAGAGACCCCCGGAGCCCCCGATCCTCCCTCACCGTCCATCGCCGCCCTCAGCGCGGTCTCAGGCCCGGCCCCGCCTTGTCCAATCGCAGCCCACCCCGGCACCTTTCGACCAATCAGCACGCGTGGCAGCCCGGTGGGCGGGGCCTGCCTGAGGGCCGGCAGCGCAGCGGAGTGACGCCTACCCGGCCGCCATCTTGAGTGAGGGCATAGTGTTTCCTCCCCTCTCCGGCAGCACCGCGCGCTCCCATTGGTCCGCCGGCTCTCGGCCAATGGGAGGCAGCAGTGCTGGGAGGTGCCGGCGTGTGAGGAGCGGCGCGGAGGGACCGCGATCATGGTGAGGGGCGCAGGGGTTGGGTCGGTGGTCTCGTGTCCCCCCCGTGTTCCCCCCGTGTCCCCTCCTGTCCTCCATCCCTCCATAGCACCTCCGGCGTCCCCTCCGTGTCCCCCATCCTCTCATTTCCCGGTCCTCCACAGCGGGCCTTCCCCCTTGCCCACCGCCCCCATATCCCCCCTCACGCGTCCCTCACACTCTGTGTCCGCTGTCCCCCGGTGTCCCCGATGTCCCCCGGTGTCCCCGATGTCCCCGCTGTCCCCCATCCCC